CAAATTTTACTGTAAAACTGTGCGATAAAGTATCGGTAGTTACGACAAATCTCCACACTCACTTGGTGAGACGGCATGTAAACAGGCGAGGAGGAGGCTAGCACATCTGAGGCTACACATATCTCTCTGTTGTTTCTTTGAATTGAATTAACGTTGGAGAGTCTTACGTGTTGTTTACATTTAATAAACATGACAAAACTTACAAATAGACTTCTTTCACTAGTCTTTGATAAATCTTTTTGAAGGAAATGCACAATTTACGAAGTTATTCATTTTTTATGAAATGTGATGTCTACTTTCAACAAAGAAAAAAAAATTTGCATCATACCCTCTCGATATTGAGCCGTGCCACATCGAATCGAATCGAATCGAAATCCTTCTGAATCGAACTGAATCGAATTGTTTCGCATTTTAAAATGTATCGTTCCTGAATCGTATCGTACCCCATGTATCGAGATACGCATCAAATCGTCTTTTATTGGAGAGATGCACACCCCCTACCAATTGAACATTAAAGGAATAATTTGCTTTTAATATTTTACAGGTCAGAGAGAAGATAGCCACCTGCTGTCATGTCAGTAGTTGATGGATTTCTTCGTTGTCCATGAGCTTTAAATAATGTTATAAAGAGTTCGGTCTAGACCTGCTCTATTTGAAAAGTGTCCTGAGTAAACTTCTGTTATGAATTGGCGCTATACAAATAAAATTGAATTGAATTGAATTGAATTGAACTAAACCTAACTGCTAATTCTTTGAAAATGTAAGTATGACTCTTTTTCATTTATATGTATACATATATACGTGTGTTTTAGGTTGTAGTAGCTAGTAGTATTCATGTAGTTTACAACACATGCAAAATATATGATTTGATCATTCAGTTTAATATTACTGGCATAACATTTTTTCATGAAACCAACCCTCACACCTGGCAGTTAGCGGTGTTAGTTATAACTAATCTCTCCGTAAGAACTAGTTTGTGTGGTCTGTGTCCAATTAAATTTAGTAGTTTAATGTGTAAATGTCCACTTGAACTTAAGAACAGCTGCAACTGGTCAAGAATAATGATCATAATTTGTATCATACTCACATGTGCCTGTATAGAAACTGATCAAACTATATGGTCAATTCATGTTGGTGGCATCATCATATCTTTTTCAAAACCACTGCATGAATCATGGACACATTTTTCAGTCGCACGCTATGTAGGTAAGTAAACAATCAATGGCATTTAACTTCCGTCCGAGGAAGTCACCTAATCTGGTGTGGTGTGTTTCACTGTGAGTGCTGGTGCTTTCCAAACAGGCTGTAGTGTCATGGTAAACAAGAAGTTGGGGAAAGTATGATGTCATACTCACGAACCAATATGAAACGCATCATTTAGTTTTCATAGCAAGACTAGAATGATTTATAATTGAGGGATTTAAGTGAAGGACAATTTGTGTTCTGCAAATCAAAAGGTTCGGGTTAAGTGTTCATGGTTTGCAAAACTGAAGACATTAACTCCCTTAAAGCTTCAAATGAGCAGATATCAGATTAGTTTCTTAGCCTGAACTAGTCATTCACCACCAATCACCTCAAACCGGAAAAGGATTAGTAGGAACTTGTTACCTCATTGGAAGTCTAATTGAGCCAATCATACCCTATAACTTTCTCCATCGCTTGCTGTCACGCCATGCTAAACTGCTCAGCCTCAGGGGTTCCTCCAAGTGGTCCCTCGTTGTCCCTGCCCTTTGACCCGGCCTAGACCACCCTTTGATCGCATGACTGGAGGTGGTCCCCTGAGGATGGTTGTACAGCTTTGCCCTGATCGGTCTAAGAATGCTGACTTCGTCTCAGGGTTAATGTTACCTGCCCCATGTCTGTTATCCCGTGGCAATCGTAATTTGTCAGCCCACCACATAGCTACTTCTTTTAAGCTATGTGTGATCCCAAAACCCCACCCCCTCACTTTCTTTTTGTCTAGCTTGCAGTCAATGAAGCTTTGTGTATATATTCCTGGATGTTGGGCTGTGGGTGAGCTCAGTCTCCCAAAGGCTCCATTGTTCTACGCTTCATCACCCTATGGATGAGCATCACAAGTGCGACTGGAGGGGTA